GTCAGTACGCTTATAAAACCCGAGTCGTGTGTAGGCTTCCATGACTGTGACGTGACCACCCGCTGACCCCCAGTTCCCACAGTGGCCCTGGGGACAGTGGCGATCAGGGCTTATCTGATGTTTCTGCAGATTCTAGACACTCTGCAAGAACCCAGCTGGGAACAGAAAGATAGTTCCTGGAAGATGAAGGGAGGGGCGGGGGCCGGCTCAGCCTGCTGCCCTGTGGAGTTGGCGCCTCCGCCCACGCGCTGCTGCAAGACGGCCCCTGCACCGGCCCGGCCGGCCTACCTCTCAGACTGCACGCCGTTCCTGAGCGAGCCCGCGTAGGCCGCCTTCTGGTCCACAGGCATCACGTCCACGTACCCGCCGCTCTCGTCCCCGATGACGCCGGCGTGCACGGCTGTCCTGCAGATGCTGGACTTCTGCAAGTACAGGGCCGGGGGTCAGGGCCGAGGTGGCGCGTCGAGCACCTGTCGGTGGGGCTGACGTGGCAGGGGTACCCGGCGCAGCCCGGCCCTCGGGGTCTCTGCGGAGAGACCCGGCCTCATCCGCTCACCTGAGTGACAGGCGAGGGCTTGGGCACCAAGGCCAGGGCTGACCCCAGTGCCACAAAACAACAAGAAGGGCACGCTCTGCCTCAGTGTGCAGCAGTGGCTTTCTGAGCCTGGATGGGCCAGGTGCCGTCCCCGGCATGGGGAGGGCAGGGGGTCAGCAGGGAACAAATGAAGACCCCGCCTCAGGAGCTGGGGGCCGCAGAGTGGGTCCAGGAGCCAGAGCTCCTCAGCCCCAGAGGCTGAGACTCGTGGCGGGTGGAGGCCGTTCTGAACTGTCCTCAGGGAGGCCCGGGACAGAGCCCCCAGGAGGCCCAGCAGGCTCCAGCCGAGTGGGGGTGGAGGTGGCCTTTGAAAGCAGGCAAGGCCACAGCTCAGGGCTCACGCTCCTGGCGGATCTGCCCTCAGGGGCCAGCAACTGAGCAGCAGCCCAAGAGAGAACCGAGACCGGCCTGCAGGGATGTGGGCAGAGGTCCCTTCCTGCCCGTCTTCCCACCGCCAGCCTCTCCCCGTCCAGGCACCTGCAGAGAGACAGGCTCCGCTCCCTCCTCCGGGCCTGGCGCACACAGCACCTGAACACTCACTGACCTCCCCACGGCCCCCGGGCCCCCACGCCACAGCTGAGCGCCCAGTGACCTGCGTCCACCCAGAGCCTCTTCCCTCCAGGGGGCAGGCCAGCACGGACGCCCTGGGGGCACCTGCGGAGGGGCGTGCCCTGAGGTCTCCAGCCTCGACACAGGGAGCCGGGGCCCAGGGCAGCTCTTATCATCACAGGTCCTTCCTGATGGACAGGCAGCCCCAGGGCCAGGGAGCTGAAGGCCAGGCCCAAGTCACTCGCCAGCAAACGGCAGAGCCAGAGACCATATTCCCCTCCACAGGGTGGCCACGTGACACGCAAGACCAGGGCTGAAGGCAGGTGTCTCCTGAGGTGGCACTAGTGAGATAGACATGGGTCCCAAAGTCCAGGGCCACCCCACATGGCCACCCAAGGCTCCAGGGTGGGCATCGCCTCAGGGACCCTCGGATGTGGTCCCCAGCCAGCAGCAGCCATGCCACCTGGGACACCTTAGCAATGAGTCCCCGTCCCCCCCCCCAGGCCCACGAGGTGAGTGGCTGCAGGGGGCCAGGGACCTGTCCCAGCAGCTCCCGGGGCTCTGAGGCAGTCAGGGGGCACTTCCCAGGCAGCGGGCAGGGAGGACCCAGGGAAACGGAGGTCCAGGAAGCCTCGCCCGCATCCCACCCCGGGGAGCGTCTGCCAGGCTGGCCGCTCGGCCTGGACCCAGGCCCCGCTCGCTGGGCCACGCCCGGACACCTCTGCCGCAGCTCGACCCAAGGCCAGGAGCAGCGCTTCAGGGGAACGGGCAGGAGTGTGGGCACTGCGAGGCCCTGGCAGGGCTGGGGCTGGCGCTCCCAAAATAAATCTCTTAGCTAAACAGACGTTTCCAGAAGCCATCATTTCCCAGAACCCAGCGTGACCTAGAAACTGAGGCCAGGATCGAGGCTCCGCCACCAAGGCCACTCCCCCACCTCTGCCTCCCGACCTTCTTTCCGTGAAGACTCTAAGCCCCTCCATTTATTATGCCTCCAGCAAGCCAAGCCATCACAGGACCAGCCCCTAGGAGCCTGAGTGTCAAAGCTCCAACCCGAGGGGACACGTCAGTTCCAGGGGACACTCGGGTTCCAGCCACACGCCCGTCCCCCGCGTGACCGGGTGCCGGTGAGCTCAGCGGGTGGAGCAGCCTGGGCCACGTCTCACTGTCACCTGGGGAAGGTGACCTGAGCTGTTCCCCCCTCTGTAGAATGGGGACGAGGACCCCTGCGCAGGGTGTTTAAGGGGCCTAAGGCCGCAGCTGTGGGACACAAAGCAGCTTCACGTTGCGGCCGCCCGCTGGCCGGGCATCTCTCCCTCGTGTTTGCTGCACGCGTTGAGCTGTTTGTCGTCTGCTGTGTACAGATTCCACCTCGTCACTGCACTCTGTCACCACACGGGAACTGCGTTGTCCCCTTCGGTATACATGAGTTTAAGCCCACGGAGCCGGCTGGGGACGGGGCCGTGGGCTGGGGACGGGGCCCAGCTCTGCCCATCCATCCACTTCAAGTCATCTTAAATCACCATCTCTCTCTCTTTTCAAAATATTTTTAGTGGTAGATGGACACCGACGTTGATTTACTTGTTTCCTACTGACTCACTGAGTTTCCCTGACGCTGGGAACCGAACCCAGCGCCTCTCCCGCGGGGGCGCCCCGGCCACTTAGCCGGCCCCCTCCGCCTCCTGACCAGAGCTGGGTCCAAGCTCTTAGTCTAACAATTGCCACAGGAACGCTCCCTCCCAGGAAGCCTGGCTTTCAGAACTCAGTCTGAGCCGAACAGCTTTCGAGAAGGAAAAAAGCTGATTTAAAGAGGAAAGAGAAACGAGGAGGAAGAAAAGCTTAGTCATGAAGGTCGCCTTGACCCCACGGAGCTGAGTGACTCCACGCTGACAGGAATCGGGGACAATTGAAGGCAGATGGAGGCAAAGATCAGGGGGGATGCCCACAAAAACATCAGGGAGCACCGAGGGACGTCAGCTGGACACCAGGATCTGGGTCAGTCCCGGGGCCGAGGTCTGGAGGTTCCTGGACTGGACCACCCAGCTCTGGCCCACTCCACAGAGAGGGCAACTACTTGGCAAGGTCACACAGCCTGTCCGCAAGAGAGCTGGGACCACGTCACAACCAGCCCTGGGCACCGGGGGCAGCCAAGCTCTGGAGGATTCACTGAGAGAAGTCAGGGCACAGCCTCCTTGTTGGAGTCAGGAGGGAGGCCGGAAGGAGCCTCCGGTGCAGGAACAGGGTCCCCGTGAGCAGTGGGGGGGTCGTGTGTCTCCTACGCACTCTGAGCCAAGTGTGTGCAGAGCCAGAAGGAAAGGCAGCGAGGGTGGAGAGAGCACGGGATGTTGGGGACATGGGGCACATGAGGCCAGAAACCCTGACACCCGCCCGGGTGAGGTGAGGCCTGCGTGCCCTTCCACGCATCAGGACGCGGTGGGGACACCTCCGTGGATGCAGAGATGGGACGGTGCTCAGAGAAGTGACAGTCCAGATTTCCCTACAGGCTCTGGAGTGAGCTGCCAGGCCCTGGGGCCAGGCCTGGGACCCTGAGGTCACAGCAGGTCCCAAGAGGCCACAGAGGAGGCCAGAGTACTCACATCTGCGTAGACGTTGCTGCCAACCACGGGGGCCCAGTAGGACGGCTCGTCCCTACAGCGCGCAGGACAGCGGACTCTGGAAAAGAAGCGGCGTTTGTGGAAGGGAACCATCAGCAGAAGGTGGAACCCTGCTCTTTGTTTGGATTTCCAGACTCCAGTTGGGGAGTGCAAGGAGGCCGCCCGCCATCTTGCTCTTTAAGAAAGACAAGGCCTCTCCCAGGGCAGCAGGGGACGGTGTTCCTGCCCTCCTCAGAGGCCGCAGGCAGCTCTTCAAAACCCCACGCAGAAGGGCACGTCCAGACCAGGGAGCTAGAGAGATGAGCGAGGGCCGTGGGGCCGTGGGGCCGTGGGCCGTGGGC